GCTCATTTGCCATCATTTTCTTGCCTACGTTAAAGGCAAAATGCCTTGCAGGAGAAAATCCAGCTCTGATGCATTCCGAACAATATCCCTAGGCTATATTATGGGAGACGTTAATTAATACAGATAATTAGATACACCGTATCAGGAGCCTAGATGGATAATCTTATTCCTCATCAGATACCACCAAATTAATAGATCTAGTATGATGACTTGTTTCCCTCTAATCAATGAGACAATTCACACAATGCATATATTTGCTATTGAGTTTCAAAGAGCAATTTTGAGTTTGGAATAGCAATTCAGAATAGCAAGGAATTTTTATTTCTGGATATTTATAACATGCCTCTCAATACAACTGAACTTTGTGATTTTCCAAGGGCGCGATCATTCTTTATGCTCCCTGCGGCTTTCAACATCAGAACCTTTTTTATTGTTTCCCTGATCTTTGACTCCAGGCTTCATTTCCAAGCTCCAGGTAGGCTGCGTGGGAGGGCTCAGACTAAGAAATTGCTACCCTCTCTTGACACTAATGAATTAATTAACAACATAAAGACCTGAGACAGACTCGTGCAATAGCAATAAAATCCCACAAAGAAGGTGCAAAGCCTTGTGCCGCACAGCACCGCTCGGCACGTAGCTCCTAGACGGCAAAAACTAAAGCTATTATCATAAAAAATGCCACATATAAAGCCTACATCACAAAAAGTCTTCATTTGCTTCTATATGCAGCAATATAAATACACAGACACATTGTATGGGATGGTTTACTTGGGGAAAAGCTAAAGTCTTGAGCGCAAAAGTACAAAAAACCACTGTCCTCCTTCCTAGCTATTCTGCTAAATAACACAACTTTACTGCCTTTTGATTTGTTTAGCATCACAGCAACCCAGAATAGTTCCATTATGGGGCTTGGTCCCGATGAAATAATTGTTGTTATTGTATGATCTTGATATAAAAATATTTGCTTTATTTTTCTCAGTGCTTCCAAATACTTACATTGGGAAATTTCATCATATTTAAAATCACCTTCTCTTAGGTTATTCATCATCTAGATTGCTTAGACAAAATGCTGTATTTTAAGACGTGTTTTAAGACAATAACCCACCTTTTCCCACAATGTAAGTGCTTAAATGCATTCAGCCTCTGCACATTGCAAAATAAATSATTCTTAGTTGAGTATGTTTCTCGAGGATCACTTAGTCCTAGATCTTGCAAGGCACATATGTGAGCATGAGGCCACATGCAAAGTCTGMATACCTATGCTCTAAAAATACCATTTTTTAACGGAGTACAGAGGTCAGGAACCTGAAGACCACTCTGGTCATCCTGGTCGTGTGTACCAAGAACATCACAGGTTATTTACTCTCCATAGAGCTGTGAGAAGATAGAAGCCCTCCAGTCAATATAAATCAAGTAGAAACCTTCAAGATGTAGCAGACTCTTCCCATATCTCTTCTGCAGTGTCCAGGCACAATAAATAAATAAATAAATAAATAAATAAATAAATAAATAAGTAAGTAAGTAAGTAAGTAAGTAAATAAATAAATAAATAAATAGCAGCTCCAATATCCAGAGCAACATGGCTACAAGGCAATCAAATTTAAAGTGGACATTTATTTAAATGCTAAAATTCTCAAGGCTAATACATGCACTGGAAATCTGATTTCCTATTTTTCTCTCCATTCTAGTGGTCTAGATAGATTGATACAACCAACCACATGTCAATAAACCAGCTGGGCTTTCAAATATCGAACATATTGCAAACTGCTCAGTGGATTTCATGCACATAAAATCCCCCATAGTGRTATTTTCATGGAGCAAATGGGATATAAATCCTCACACGGAACTCTACRGATGCCATACGTGAATAATCTATGAATTCCTGACTCAGCCCTCTTGACAATCACAGATTCAAAGGCAGAAATGTCCTAAAAATCAATCAATCAATGAAAAAATCAATCCATCAAACAATCAAAGATCAATCAAAGAAAAAAGACTAWTTTTTTTTCAAGGAAGAGCTTAAGAAAGAAGACTGGAAAGTCCTGCATTCTTCCCTCTTCTGTATCCATTAAAGATGGATGGCAGCCTTCAGCAAATCAATCCTAACACCATTCAGGGGCTTCAAACTGATATAAGACCATCTAGAATTTATTTTCCAAGGGAAATGTGAAGTCAAGGCCTGGGAGTTGTAGGTTTTGCCATGAAAAATAAAAGTGAGAGAAAGGGGGGAAAAAATCTATATTATATATAAAATATTACATTATATATAATATATATATATAAAGTATATATAAATATATGTAATATATATCTAAACATATTTATTATAATATATTATGATGATTTAAATATTATATAATAATATATTAATTCACATATAATAATACTTATTATATGATTATTATAATATTRATTCACATCCAAGTTTCTTCTTCATTACTATCCACAGACTGTCAAAAACAGCAAGTTCTTGACCATTAGGTTTATAAACAAATTCCTTTCAGGGACTTATGATAAGCACCAGGAAACACTAGAAAGAGCCTGATGCTGAAAGTGCCTGTGGGCTTGGGGCACCCACATTGCAGATGAGCAGAAATGCAATGAATCTTGTTTGGAACTGTACAAGACTACCCCAAAACTGATCTTGCAGACCCATAAAACCCATGTAGATACAAGGTAGATCAACTAACCAGGCAGCAACAGAGAGGCTRCAGTGGATTTCAGCTTGGCTGTGCAAAAACCCATGGGGAAATAGTCACCTCGTTGGGCATTAAGAACATCTCAAGCACTTCCCAACGCTGTTGGGGCTGCCAATGGAGCAGCACATGCACACAGTGCCAGGCCATCGTACTCATTTCAAAGCCAACAATCTCTCCAAGACAGCCTCCCTCTCTTCATTTCCACCTCTGAAAGTCATGAAAATGCCTCGTTGCAGCAGTAACTTGATCGCATGGATGTGGATTTAAATATTGCCATTTCTGCAAAGGGGTATACAATAGACTACACTGCAATTAAAGAAACCAGACTGAAAATTTATAAATAATGCTTACAGATTTGCTTTTGTAATTGACTTATTTGCTAGAAAATATGTTATTCAGTGGATGTGGTTAAAGTGTAGTAAATTGAGAAAAATTGCAAGACTTTTCAATAAAAAGACAAAATAGCTACACTCTTCAGACAGCAGGTGGTAAAACAAGATAGATACAGAAATGTTCCCCTATATAAAGAAATGAAACAAAACAGAAATGTGTGATTTTACTGCTCTTTTCCAGGAGAACAACATCCCTACAGGACTTAGAAAATAGGCTCCTAAATTTGCTCATATGGAGTACCAGACATTAAAGTGAAACTTTAAAGCAGAACAAACTAGAAATGGGATGGTGCTAACTCTCGAAGAACAGATTTTCTGCTTGAAAATATCAAAGTAATTTAAGGGAAAATCTGTGATTTAAGTTGGTTCGCCGATTGCCATAGCATATTTCATTAAACCAACAAGGTTTCCATGTGACCAGCCTGTTCGTGAACACGTTAGACATCTTTCAAAAGCATGTAAGTACCAACTGGGCGTATTGACCCAAAACACCTTTGCAAGAATGAGCTAAGTGTCTTTCAAAATATTGCCCACAGAAAACTTTGCATGAGTTTATTCTAAAAACTCAAGCAGAAAGTCTGAGGAGACTACTGGAAGCTAGTGATTGCTGCGTACTTCTGCTAAGCTCCTAGGTGAGAGCCAACAGATTTTATCAAAAAGCAATACTAATTCCTGAAGAGAGGGGCAGGATGAACGACTAACTGAAATTTGTGCTGGAGACAACTCAGGACAGCTGTCAATGCTGGCTATCTAAATAAAAAAAAAGTTTATTTCTCTAAAAAAAAAAAAAAAAAAAAAACCTCTAAAAAACTGTTTAAAAATTCTAAAAATCTCTTTAAAAACTCTAAAAAGTTTATTTTTCTGTGCTGGCATCTTTCACAGCATACGAGTTCACCTAGGCAAAAGATGACAATGCATATGACAAAAGTATATGTGTCTATAAGTCATGTTTCCAGAGTCAAGGCAGTGATCTGTCACTGTGTMCCATTCCAGTACCACTCAGGTCACCAGTAGGAATAGCCCCGACTCAGGGAGAAGTTAGAAGTATTTTCTACATTCTCAAGGGTAAGCGAGCAGTTTCTTGCCCTTAAACCCTCTGCTCTGGAGCCAACAGAGCCTCAATCTCAGACTGGCTGCAAAGGCCAGACAAACACAGAGCTCCTCTGCATGAGCTCCTGCTTCATCCCACAGASAGCGTAGGAGGAACAGCTAGACTATAACCCAAAGCATGACGAGTCCCACTGGGCCCACAACCTGAAGAAACGCGTCTGCAAAATTGTCAAGATCACCGAATCCTCTGTATCACAGAGTGATTCTGTAATGGTCGAGGTTGAAAGGGACCTCTGGAGATCATCTAAACCAATTCCTCCGCTTGAGCAGGGACACCTAGACCACATGGCCCAGAACCCTGTCCCTACATYTTCTGAACATCTCCAAGGATGAAAACTCCACCACCTCTCTGGCAACTTGTTCCAGTGCTGCTACCCAAGGCAGTTTGGCCGTTCCTCCTTTGGCTATAAAGAAARGACTTACCCCTTATGGAAGAGAACAGATACCTGAAACCTCCTTCATTTCTGCATGGCAATACTCAACTGCAACCACTGGCCTACACAGGCTTGCACATATTGAAGTGACAGCACTGCAGAGGCCTTRGAAGTGACACTGAAAGGGTAATAACCCCACGTGATTCTATCACCAATCCTGCCCAGAGGTGAGCAGCAGGAGGCCAGCAGATTGAGGCGCTTATGAACAGAGCCTGTGAAAGGCAGAATCAACAGCAGAGTTGGCCTTTCAGCCCACACGTGCTTTCAGCAGCTGCATTCCCACAGGAGAATGAGAGAGGCCTGAGCGAAACTTGGCAGGGAACAAGAAAAGAGAGAAAACTGAGTAAAAAAGACCCAAATCCTACCTGACRGGAGCTCCCCGGGACTGAGCAGGCTTCAGCAGGACCGTGATGGTTGTGTCCGTYTCATTGAGCGGGGAGTCTGTGTCATACTCGGGCATGGACGGTGCTAGGGCAGAACAAAAAGCAGCGCCTTAGGTAGAAACCATCACCTCCTCTTGGCAGCAACAGCAACATAACATCAACTCGAGGACTATTTAACATTGCTTAAGTGAAACGTCGAAGCGCTTTGCAAGAGTTACGACAAAACGTCAAAAACTTTTTAAAAAAAATCTGTGCCCATTTCTATTAAAATTAAATATAAAATGGACACCCAAATCTTCCAGCTGGCTTTTAAAATCCTATCTTGATTTTTATAAGATTTAGTAATCTTTTAAAATGGGATAATTTCTTCAATTTTACAAAGAAGACTGCACCACTGTTAAAGGACATCAGTTAGGACCAGCAAATCAGTGGCAGAAGTAGGAAGAGAAGGTAGGAATCCTGGCTCCTGTTCTCTCATTTCATCCCTAGATTAGACCTCACACATCTTAGGCATAGTTTTTATGGATTTAAATTGTGCATCTCCTTCATTAGCTGAAGGGTGTTATGAAACAAAAAAGCACAAAAAAGAGAGGAGCACAAATCAGCCAGGTTAGTTCAGCACTCAGATCTGCAGTATTTTACCCCAATGCTTTAGAGATTCTCAACACTAAAAGCAGCTTTAAGATTAGGCAGCTGCAAGGCTTCCAGYGGTTGTGTCTGAGCAGCAATCACCCATGGTGCCCATCCTTTCACTGAGACAATAAGGAAAAGTGCAAAATATTCACATTTAACCTAACGAGTCTTATTTCCAAGGCTGCTTCTGCTTTGCTCTTTTATGTTATGGTCATTTCATGAAAGTAGGATACGTTTCTTTAGACATCCATATTTTACTTCATATGTTTCTTCTTCCTTCCCCAGTAGCAGCCACCTCTACAGCGGACAAAATGATGGGATCACGAGCAAGTGAGGCATGAGATTTATCCCAAAGATGCAAGTTTAGTTGAAATACCCTTAAGCGAATAGAAGAATTTAAACAAAGACCATAGTCCCCCTCAGTTCCGTGGCACTTCGCAAGGGCAAACTGCTTTGCAGGGGTTCTACGCTTAATCCTCTCACAGCGATTTCCACTGTAATCCTGCTTACAATCAGCAGTTTTATCTAAAAGCCCCCAAACTGTCAAGAACGGTGCTTGCTATTATCAGCTCAGCTATCGATATCAATAAGCCGTGAGGGAGATCAGAAGGAATGCTAAGGCCTTGACAAGGATTTCTGTGGTAGGGGTGATCTGCATCCAGGGAAGTGGTTCCAGTGACTTACAGAAGTCACACATCACCAGCTGTCTTCTGCTCTAGGTAGAGCACCTACCTAGGGCACCTACCACAGCAGAACTTCCTCACTGGCARTCTTCTCTACTAGACATCACAGCACCTTCTAGAGATGCCAAAACAAAAATCGTGCAGGGGCAGGGGGGATGTTTCTGCAACTCAAGGCAGTGCCCCAAAAAGCTCCTGCTTGGCCACCAGAAATGGGCTGGAAATTCAATTTCTGCCCTGAAGCAGCTTCCATGAGCCTCGCTGGAGCACTATGCTCACATGACAGAACTGCTCCTGAGATGTGAATGGGCTCAGGTGTCTCCTCCTGGCACTGCAAGACCTGTTTGGTCTTCAATATTCTGTGTAAACCACTGGACTGGACCCAGTGAATTTACRATCTTGCCTCCACACCACACAGAGCTGAGAAGATGGTGAAAGACACCTAGGTCTTGCCAAGGCGAGTTAAGGGTATGGAGTGTAAATCAGTGATCGCTGTCTGTAGTAGTCCAAAGACTGCAATTAAATACAGTAACTTTCTTATATACCCCACAGGGAATATTTTAGTAGTATCTCAATAAAAGGAGAATTAGCAGTGACCTCTCTAAAGACGACATGYCCTGATCATGGATTTAATGTTGATCTTCTACGAGCCTTTAGGTATTCTGCCATTTAACTCACGTTGAAGAGCTAAACAAATGTGCACCTTATTATTATCTACATGTATAGAGAGTACACATATATATTTGAGTGTATATATATATATATACACAATAGAGTATACATATGTATTTGAGTGTGTATATATATATATATATATATATATAAAATATATACTCAAACGTTCTTACAACATTCCTTTTCCTTTCAAAAATACTCTTTGCCAGAAAGTCTTCTAGGGACATTCCAGTGAATAAAAATATGAGGCAATGCAAAAATCCCTTTGCTTCCAGCTTGCTTTGGGACTGCGTCTTGGAGCAAGCGTAGCAGATATCTTCAAAGCACATGCACAGAACTGACCATGCAACGGGCTAAATCTAATGTCAGGGACTATCCCARTGTCCGAGTAGTGCCAACCTAGTGCCATCCTTCTGACTGAAGACAGAAGAGAGCAGAAAGCCAGAGTTCAGTGTGCAGGCAGCTAAAAATCATGCAGGGTCCTAACRTGATCCGACCACTCAGTGAATAATAAAGCGAAAAGGAAGCGAAGGAAAGGGGAAATGCAGGTCTGTGGTGCTATTCTGCTTTGCTGTTCTGGACACAAGTGTATAGGGGATTTGCCCTGGCTTCCCCAAGCTGCAGGGCTGCATAAACCACTGCAGTCTGTGGAGCTGCTCTGCAAGGTGAGCCAGGGGCTTCTGCACCCAACGCTCCAGGTTCACACCCTGCTAATGGTTATTACAGAGAATGGATCTATTTTGCTCTCTAAAAATTGATGCCATCACTTACTGCTAACAACTTCTTTTTGTTAACCAGCTTTGAACAAGGTCAACGGAAAATATGTATTACTGCAGACTGTTTTTCTATGCTCCTGGCCATCATTTCAAGCATTACAAGTGTCACAAAGAATCAGTCTGTCAGGCTGCTAAATTGAACACTTGTCTTGGCTTTACTGAGAAAATAAAGATAACAAAACAAAACAAAAGCAGTTTTAAACTCTGGTAGAGAACCCTTTTAGTGCTATCAAGTGCCATCAATTAAATCCTAAAATTAAAATCTACATATACCTGTCCCTTATTTTTTCCACCATTTCCCCTCCACCCTTTTTTTTGGCTCAAGCTAGCACAAACTCCTATCTTCCCCTCACGGAACATAGTACCTTTCTTCCTTTGGTGTCTTTCAAATATTTGTGTGTTCACCCTTCCTCTGCCCTTATTCAGAAGAAAATCCACAGAACTTCTTCCTCTTTTCTGATTTTTTTTTAAATCTCTTTTTATACGAATTCAATTACTTCATTACTCCCCTGTTGGTGACATGCTAGAGATAAAAGCCACATTGCTGAAGGTGCCTACCAGACTAAGTATATGATATCAATAACTTATTATAGGGATAATTCATCTCTAGAACTAAGGATGGTTCTCATTAAAATGATCCTCAGGTGAACTCTACCACTGCATTTGTAATCCAAACGAACAGACACTGGATTGTGGCTCCTTTAAAAATCAAGCCCATAAAGAATGTGTAACAGTCACTAAGTTAAACACTTTTGTATTGTTTTATCTCTCTGTTAGCTGTGGATCTAAAGCACCACGTCCTAGCAGGTTCCCTCTTCTCCAAAGCAGTACCTGAAATCTTAGTTGCAATCCGTGTTGTGATGGGTGGCCCAAAGCCCTTGACTGTGCTCGCTTTGATGGTGAATGAATACGTAGTCCCTGGATATAATCCTACAAAGAGGTGATGTGTTTCATTCCTTAGCTTGAAGACTTTCCCTCTTTGGCTGGACAGGTCAGCACTGGGATCCAGAGACCCAACGGCCTTGTATGTAATCTGCAAATGAAGAACAAGGACAGTAAGGTGATAAGGGGCCCTCTGCACCTGCCCTTTCCTTGCTCCCCTGCTGCACCATTGCTGTGGGCTAGAGCTCGAGAATTAAAGGACATATTACTTCAGTATCTCCAGGGTACAGCTCTGCATTTGGATGCTGGCAAGCAAACATGACAATTTTTCCGAGCCTTTACGTGATGAGAAACTAATGTATTTTCTCTGCTCAAACTTCAGCACGTGCTGCTTGCCAACAAAAAGTGCAAGGAGTTGCTGTTTGTTGCAGGTGCCAGACCTTCCGCAGCCCAACTCAAACGCACTSCACGAGCTGCAGAAACTTCACAAGAACTTCCCACATAATTCCCCAGAGCCCCGGAGCGCTTTTGGCGCAAGCCTAGGACATATTTTCCAGCAMGTATTTTTTTCTTCCAACAAACGGTCTTTCCCAAAACCCACTGAAAACAACGGGAGCGTCTTCCTGACTTTGGGATTCTTTTTGTGCCCGCATGAGAGTACGCGAAAATGAACTGTCAAAATAAAATCACAGGATTAGATGCAGTAAATACCATCAAGGCTGCGGACACAAGGCCGCCTATTCTTGCCTGAGTTTCCAAGAGAATTCCTGCTGTAATTTCCTCCCTTCTGGTTCCTCCTGGCTTGGCAGGATAATGTGCAGGGGGGTTGGAGTAGATGATCTCTAGAGGTCCCTTCCAACCTTAAGGATTCTGTGGGTAACTCTTGAGCCTGAGAAAGTAAGCCTGGAGCATCATTCCAAACCCTGGAATACACACGCAGTGTGGAGCTGGGCTGGAAACCCACTTGTGGAATTCGGCTCCRGTTGTGTTATGCTTGCAGGCAGCAACCCCGGCCATAAACAGCCACTTGGAAGCAAAACTCATGACTTATTTACCAGCCAGTTCCTCCCCTCCGTTCCAAATTCAATCCAAAGGCAGCTCAATTTCAACTGAGCTGTCAATATAATATAGCGTGCTCTGCTGCTCTCCTACCCCTTCCTGATATGATGGGATCCTCGCTTATTTGTAATGAAACACCATGAATAAATCAATGTATGTTAATAGAGCAAAGGCCTCCAGTTTTTATGAAGGTTTCCCCAAGAACCTGGTTCGCAGCTTTGCTGAGAGAGGCTTTGAAAAAAATTAAGTCCCCTGTTTCATGAGAAGAGGAAAACGTTGCATTGTAGAAGTGAACGTGCCGGGTTTAGGAAGAGCAGGTTTAATAACAGCTTAGGTGAGAGCGAGAGGCTCTTCCCACCRACACCAAATGCACAGGGAAAGGGAGGGTGTTTGAACACGGTTATTTGTGCAGTGCTGATGGCCAAGACTGAACAAGCAGTGAAGAACACCCAGCCTGACACAGCAGCAAAATACAAGGAACACAGAACTCTTAAAGGAGTTAGATTTAACCAACTTATTGGTGATTTAATTGAACCACCCCTCTTTTTTTTTTCCAGGAATTGAGGCCTCTTCTTTTTTTTTAATTTAAATTTTTTTATTTTTATTACTTTCCAGAGACCTGAAAAGGAGTCAGAGCATCGTGGTCATTAAAACAAGTTGTTTAAAATAGGCAGGAGGGATGTTTACATTTACATTTGCTGCTTTTYCTTGGGTTAGGTGAGGCCCACATGTGCCAGAGGACAACATGGTGACATTGAGGCACTCACAAGAGCACAGAAAAGGAGCACAAGGGACATTAAAACAACCTAGATTCAAAACTCACAAGAAGTAGCAAAAGAGGAAAAAAAAATGTGAGGAAGAGTAGGTCTGAGATGTGTGATAGATGTTCGGGGCATTTTTCAAAAAAGACTACTCAAATTTTCAAAAAAACTGTGTTACGGCCTCAAAGGTTTTGAGGGGTATAAGCCAAAGAGACATTCACAGCACACCTAAGCTGTGAGACAKCCTCCAAAATGCCATGCTAGCCTTGGAGCAGCAGACGCAAACTGCAGAAGCGCGGACGACAACACCATGTATTTATTTCCACCCTGGATCTGGGGGTTTTGGCACAGCAGAATCCCAGAATGGTTGAGGTTAGAAGGGACCTGTAGAAACCACCTAGTCCAACCCCCTGCTCCAGCAGGGACACCCAGAGCACGGGACACAGGGTGGCATCCAGGTGGGTTTGGGAGATCTCCAGAGAAGGAGACTCCACWGCCTCCCTGGGCAGCCTGTKCCAGGGCTCTGGCACCCTCACAGTAAGAAGTTCCTCCTCACATGGAGACAGAACTTCCTGGGTTTCAACTTGTATCCATTGCCCCCTGTCCTGTCACWGGCCACCACTGAGAAGAGCTTGGCCCCTTCCTCCCTACGTTCCCCCTTCATGAACTTATATGTGTTAATCACATTCCCTCTCAGCCTTCTCTTCTCCAAGCTAAACAGGCCCAACTCACTCAGTCTCTCCTCATACGAGAGATGTTCCAGTCCCTTTATCAGCTTGGTTGCCCTCACTGGACCCCCTCAATGGCACAGCAGGAGCTGCACCACTGTATTTTAGCAAGGACGGCACCAAAACCATCCGTGAATCCACCCATAATTACCAAATTATATCCAGATGAAATGGAGATGCTAATATGTGGCCTTTTTTTTTTCCTCCTTGATTTATGCTAAAACTTTTGAAGCAAGAGAAATTTCAGGGAATCACAGGGTGGATTTTTTTTCAAGAAGAAACTATGGACACTTCCAACCCTGAGGTCCTTTATAAGTGGCCTGAAACACGTCTGGAGAGAAGAGAAGCCACCTCCTGGGAACAAGGAGGCTGTCAGGAAAGGCACCTACTYCTCCAGTTGATACAGTTGATATGCTGAGTGTTTATCCTCAGCTCCTGTTCCCAGGGACCACGAAACAAACAAGAGATTCTGATCTAGCAAATTAGATGACTCAATTACTAGAGAGCAGCTGTTCTAAATTATTTTAACATATGCTATTTTTATGAGAAGTCATGTCGCATAATACTCCGATAGTCTGGAAAAAAAACGCAATGAAAGTAAACATTTGAAAGAGCTAGACAAAAAAGCAAACAAGAAAATATTAAAAACTATATTCTACGGATTCCAGGTTGCTTGAAAATATTTGATTTGATTCTGATTTGGAATAAATGCAAGTACAAAGATGACAGAATTTTTATATATATATACACACACACACACACACATATATATATATATATATAAATAAAGAGAATTTATATTTTTACCTACCATGCCCTGCCCAGCAGATGCTGGATAGACCAAGCTGGGCCTCACCTCTGCAGACTGGGATGCCTGTCTGAAGTCTGCATGTGCAGTTTAGCATTTGCAAATTGGCTCCACTGCAACTGGATGGTTGAGGGGAAAAAATTTCCGTGGCCACTGCTACGGTTGTCCCCATAGCAAAGACCAGACGCAAGGAAAACACCCAGCCAAAATCCAGAGCTTCCTTGGGGAAAATCCCTGAGCTAAGSATGAGGGAATTGAACTGAAGCACCAGCAGCAGCAGATATGAAATAACCAGAAATTCAACAAGTTGGATAGCAYGGGAATTTGGAAAGATAAATAATAGCTGCTCTTCCACCACACCAGAGGGGATGAAACTTCTCCACCTGGAGAGGAATGATTCATTCCTGAGGCAGAAGGAGATGACAGCGTGAGTCTCCGGTCAGTTTAGCTCCCATCTGAATTGTGCAAAATTCGGCTACATCCGTCCAAATTTTCCATGAACAAAAGGTAAAGCAGGTCAGCTGCACGTAGTGCCAGCCTACTGGAAGCCACCAAAAGGACACAACAGATTTCATTTCCGAGTGTTCTGCGACATGTATCTGCTGTGTCACATTATGAAGAATAAAATGAGAACAGATGAGCACGAGAAACGTGCCGGTGAGCAAGTTCACTCCTTGCCATTAGCTTGGCAGACATCCTGGAGAACGTTCCCGTTTCCTCCAGTGCCCTCTCACTTCCCATTACCCACACCACTTTATTCCACCTTCCCCTTTGTTTTCCCTTCTTTTTCAAAGCTGGAAGCATTAGCTCCTTGCAACGAGCACATAGGCACTGCATTAACAAGTGCCGAGATGAAGATGTAATACTGAGAGCATTAAAGGCAGCTCTTCTCTCCTTCGCAGCGCCCGATTTCACAGAGTGCTCCAGGGAAACGCGAACACTTCACTCACGATCGTCACTTGTGCCTGCGAAACTCCCATTACAAGAGCAGACTTTTTAGGAAAAACTTCCACCGTGAAGGGCAAGACCACAAAGCACTTCCAGGAGGCTCTTTCTCCTTGCAAGCGTTTCTTCAAGAAGCAAGCAAGGGAAAAATCTTCATCCCCCTTAATTTTCACCCAGCTTACAGGTTTGGGCAAGCGTGTTTCCACGTGCAAAAGGATATGGAGATGCAGTTGGATATTATTAGGAAGGCTCATGGAGCAGCTTGAGCAGCAGGCACAGATTAGAGCCCAGATCGGGGCATGGGAAGCCCAATTAACACTTAGGGTCTGCCCAGAGCCCAGCTTATCTCTGCAGCTCTGTACCGTGCCTCTCATCCATGCCATTCCTTGCTAATAACAACACCAATGGAAACCCACGGATTTTATCCCAGCTTTAGATGTGCAGACAGTGTGGTCCTTGTTCTGGGCTGTATTTAATAAAAATTTTCAGTGTGTCTGAAAATTGAAAAATAAGGAAATACAGGAATAAAGGAAAGGTTATATCTTGCTAAGACTGTGGTAATTAAGCAGTGAAACACATGGCCAAGAGATTCAGTGAGTTATCCTTCATGTTCAGGTATTCCTTTGGAAGGAATTCCTTTAGAAGGAATATTATCAACCCACCACAAGGTCCTAAACTTAACACCAGACCAAACTGCAATTTAGATCTAATCTTTTCATTGCAAAGGCCCTTCTCACTCTCCAGTGCTAGGCAGTAAAATCCTTCTGGAAACGCTAGGTGGCTTTTTTTGGAGCATCTTTAATCCTTTAAATAAATCAATTAATTAACAAGAAAGAATAACCTGCTCAAA